ACAATACACTATAACGGTTGAAAGGCTAAGTATTTATGTCTACCCAGTTTGTAAAAACCTTGGAGGAGAAATTCCACCTGGATCTTGCCTGAAGACATTTTCATTTGTGTGTGCAAATTTTGTGACCATTCTTATGACAGTTCTTAAATTCAGTCTAAATCATAAAGCCATTTGGAGGTTCTTTCAAAAACTAACAAAAAACAGCTTGAAAATGAAATCTGAAATGTACGAATTGTCTGAAATTGACACACTTTTACATGCTAAGAAAATAAAATCCTAAGTCTAGAACCAGGTGCAGTTTCAGTAGCATTGTTGTGGTTTATTTTTAACATGTATTGGGTAGCACTGTATACTGTACTTTCATTCTAACCTTTCCTGGAAAATAGAGGGCCTGAGATTTTGCACAGCACGAGGATCAGGGAGGAGACAGAAAAAAAATTCAGATGCGCACATTTAAAGTTTTACAATTTTACAGTTGTATTAAATTGTTAGGGTCATATTTCATGCCATTTCTTGTGTCAGAACTGCTACAGACTTATTAATATGCAGCATATTAATCTGCACAAATAAATTACATGTAGCATGTTAACCCAAAATAAAGCATTTAGGTATTACAATTCTAATGAAGCTCTTGAATGTTATATGCCTGAAAGGCAATTATCAGAAGCGTTGAAGGGGAGGGATGGGGTGGGGGATTGGGTCTTTCTGTTTTAAAAGATGCATATTTTGCATCTTTATAAACCATTACAAAAAAACTGCATTGAACTCCAATTACTGTTCACAATGGCACTTATAAAGGGGGCCTGATTAGTGTTGTGCAGCAGTGTGTGAAAACCATGAAAATAGACAAAAATTGCAAAGCGTAACTGCCTACAACCCACAGATTTGTGGAGAGAAAAAATTTTCCTTTCAGGTGCCTTTGAGATATTACACTGAAGTTGGTCATAAATAAACACAAACTCCCAGAAAGTTTGCTTTTTGTGGACTGCCGTTCCATAGTAACATAAAATTGTGATATACGTTGTGCAGTTGCAAAGGCATCAAACGCGCCTGTTTTGTTAGGAGACATTCAGGGGCAGACAAGCACTTATGTGTGATGTGTATCATTTATTTTAGATAAGGTATTGTGTACACAAGGACAGCCTTTTAGAAAACTTCAGCAAGAGCTCGGCTTTGATTGCGCAGCAGTTGAGCTGGTCTTCAGTAGCAGCCAGCCATCAAAAGGTTCACATTTTAAAAGTTTGTATTATGCGTGTCTTTCTGACAAATTTTATTTGTAACCCCTTTTTTCAAATTGTGTAGTCTCCCTGCTGCTCACATTGTGTCAATGAGGCAATTACAGCAGTTTGAATCCTTTAGCATTTCTCTGACACCTTGGATTCAGAGATTATCTCAAGATGCCCATTCAGTTTTCCCATGCAAGGCTATGGTCTGGGTGAGAAGAAGCCAGACTGGCCCTGGATTTCCCTAGTGCATTATTTATCACAATTCTAAGTAGATTTCAACTGCTTGGATTGCCTTCAGTTGGATAGAAGGTTCTGAAATGAGGGGTCACTGGTGTGGGTTTCTATGGTAATTGAGTAGTATTGCCAATAGTTTTCCTCTCATGAGCAATAAAGCACATAATAATAGACAAACAACAGTGGTTAAAGCAAGCAGGTAGGATTACTATGTCCTTTTGTCGGAAGTATATAGTGTGATGTAGTCAGATTTAAAGACTTCTCAACCCCCAAATCCACCCTACAGGCACCTGCTGTGTCATTTTCTAGGCCTAATCTCCATCCTTTAACTACAGGCCTCTTGCTAATTTGAGGCAAACGGCCAGATTTGCTGCTGAATAGTGTAGTGAAAAGCCTCAACTCAGGAAAACCTCCCCTCCCCTCACCTCCATCCACGAACAGGGAAAAATAGATAAACATAAGCATTTACGTGACAGAATTACATGACTCACAAAACGGTACCATGGACTCAATTGCATTTTTTCACCCTCATATTAATAGTTTACAAAAATTGCAGAAGTTCTACTCTGCAGCAGCCTTCCCCATAAAACTTGTCACTTCACATTGCTGTCAGTCACCACAATAACAATCATTTCATGCCTCCTGCTAATTGCAAGCACAGCTGGGACTCAGCAGGGTGCTCTTGCACAGTCACAAGGCCTTTATACCGGCCCCAATCTGTTCTGTAGCACTCACACACACACACAAAATTACTAGCAAAGGCAGAAAGAGGCAGAGTCACAGGTTGCTTGTAATCCCTCCGCTTCCCTGCTAAGAATTCAGCCCTACTAGAATTCCTGTTTTTGTTTTAGACTATACAAAAGCTGCAGTGACCTTAAGCCACTAGAATTTATGTTCTGAATGGGAAACACAACTCCTTCAGGTGCATTAAGCTGTGGTACTGCATCTGGTTTGATGCATTCTGTTTGCAGCACCCCTGGAGTGAATTGCGGCTTCCTGTAACATGCAAAATATGAGTGTGAACTCAAGGTTCATGGCAGAGAGCAGGGAGGTTGAAGCAGGAGGTCAGACAGCCTTTCAAATCTGGCTGTAGAACAAGGTTGCAGATGTTCCCGTGTAAGTGTAATGACACCAACTCCCTGAGAACACAGGAACCCAATGCTTCCTTATCCTTATTTTCACAAATGAATGCCATAATCAGTATGCTGCTTGCAGATTTATTCAAATCAAGTATTATTTAACATATTCAGAGATCAGTATGGCATTACTGACAGTTATAACATTTAGTTAACCATTTTCATCCAGGCTTTCTCCAATGGGCCTGATGGGTAAAAACACTGCCCCAAATAAGTTGCACATTAGCAATTTCAGGTAGGAGTAGACTATTGTGAAATGTCATCTATCAATACAACTTCCCAAAAGATTGCTTTCAATCCACCCACCTGATCACCTAATAACTCTGTATCCTTTTAATTTCTGGAAAACTGCCTGGTTTTTGAAATTCTGTTTAGTTCTTTGTTCCATCATTTACTACATATAGACTAAAAAGCACAGCAAATACTTGTTAGTTTTTTTGTGCTATGTATATTTATTCATTACAACTGACTGGGTAGTGTTAAGAAAAATATTTAAATATGAAACTGCCTAGACGACTTATTTGTTTTATTTATGTTATTGCTTATGTGAAGATTAGAGCATGTCTTAGCATGTTATGAACAGGTTTACAGTGTAATCTTTTGATGGGCGAACAAGTATTTGGAAGCACAGTATTTTATCACTGAAAATGTTGGAGCATTTGGTGTAGTCCGGAAATTCGAAGTAGTTCATTTGAAGCACTTAGAGCAAAGGGTTTGTGTTGCTTTGTGTAATAGAGCCTCGCTTTTGTAAACTGCCCCTTCCCCAACATTTTTGGAAAAAAAAGAGAAAATCCTGCCCATCAAATTATTAATGAAACCCTAACCAAATCGAACAAGCATCCATCATTCCTAAATACTGTTTTTGAGAAATGCAGTTTGATTAGCGCTTTCACAAAGGGATTAGGCTATGAGGATGAGCAGCAATAATCAGTATTTCACACCTCTGAGGGCAGCTAATGAGACACTTGAAACTTCTAAAATCCCAAAAAGTGTGAGAACAAAGCTGCGGAGTGTGGAGTTCAGAGTCAAAGTGGCTGAATGGCAAACTCGGGACCATTGGTTTTCATACAAGGACCTGCAAATCCCAGCAGGCGCATAATGGAGTATTGGCTCCAAATGGTGCACATACATCAACTTAGAGGGGCAACCAGGAAAGGCAGAAGAAACTGCAGAAGAAAAACACCCAGGTATAGAATGAGTATTCTGATGAATTGTCCTACCTGAAACATTAATCTTGTCTCGTTCTTTAAGATGCGCATTGGTCCGCTGCAGTATCGCTAGCATTTTATGTTCAAGATAAAAAAAAAGCTGCTGCTGTCGAGACCTATATGTATATGAAGATGAAAACTGAAGTTATAAATGATATGTGCTGAACAGTTACACTGACAGGTATGGTGAAATGCATGCAATTGAAAAGAACCTGCTGTGAGGGTAGAGTGAATGTACTGTACTATAGCAACACCAACAAATTGCATTTATAGACCGGCTTTCCAGTTGGTAACAGCAGTATGCTGTTTGAATGACCAAAATGCCATGTCTCAATCACTACTGATCCTATGTTCAAAATTGGTGTTCAACTGGAGGGCACATCACACCTCAAACAAAGGGCAATTGTACTGAAACTGCACCCCACATCATAATAAATTGATGTTCATATTCATGTCACTTGAGATATGTTGTTTTTTAATTGTTGTGAAAGTGGCCACTTTAGCTACCAGGGAAAGCTATGTGTGTGCACCAAAATGTAAATCACCATGTCAAATAGCAGTGCTGTCAAGCAGAAAACTCTGCTGTAACTGCTCACCCCTCACAACTGTGGTAATACTGTAAAACCTTTCCCTTGGGTTTGATCATGAATACCACCCATGGCCTGCAGTTATATCATTGGACGTGCTTTCTTGGGTGCCCAGTAATTTTAACACAATTCTCGTTGATATCTGGCTGAGATGTAAGCTTGTAGCTGCAATACGCTTCATGTGTGTGTGGTGGGGGAGATGAAATCCTCCACAATTATATTGTTTTCAACATTTTTACAGACAGATATGAAAATAAATCGCTTTAAGTCGGAGTGAGTGCCCCACAGCTTTGCACAAGCTTCTATCTGTAAATGTATCTTTATCTCTCAAAGAAGTCCAAGTGTTGCAGCAGCTTATTGATGGGAAGAAAGTGTCTGAGTAAGAACTGCAGTTGCAGATATGAAAAGTTTGTGTAAGTGTTCGAGGAATTTTGCCAAAGATTGTCTGAGTTTCTATTGCAGAGCTTGATTTTTAGCGAGCAGGGCCTCTTTGCTGGGATGAATCTGACTGTTCTGCTGACCATTCGTGAACATATTGTAGAGTTTCAATAATATCTGGCCTACTGTGATCCTCATGCTGGAGAGTGTTGTCTTATGTTTTCTTCTCAGCAATGGTACACAAGCTCCTTGAATGTTATCTGCACCTGGCTGACTGATCGGATGGACCTGCAGCTTCACATTTACCAGCTGAAAATCCTCATCAGGCTTGTTAAGGTGAGAAAAACACTTTTAAGCGTGGCCATTTTCTGGACATAAACTGAGGCAGCAGGACAAGAGGGCAGAGGTTTGGGGTTGTGATTCTTGGGCATCAGGATTGTGGGGTGTCAGAATTTATTCACATCCTGCATTCCCTGAAAAAAAACGGTACAGTGAAAGAAAAAGTAGATTACATAAAATATGACAGAGGAATATGATGTTATAAGAGAGGAAACCACTTGTGAAGCATATCTCATTTAGCCAAACCTCTGGGACTCTCAGTAACCCAACTGTCTATCTTCCTGTAATTCTGCTACAAATAGTTTTCAGGTTCTAGCTCTCGCTACAATGCTTTTCACATTTACATCAAAAGTGCATCATATTCAATGAGGGCGCATTATTTTAAATAAATAAATGGCTGTGATTTTTAGACAATATTTCTTTCCCCTGTTACAACAGGCTGGTGTAAAGGCTGGTGTGTTGCACAGATAATGCAAATGTTTGTGTAGTCAGTGGGAGTTATTTTTCAATTGAAGCATTTCTAAGTAAAAGGATAGTCAAATGAAATACACTGTGTGGTAATGTGTTCTGTGTGTGAGTGTGTGGGGTGGGGGGAAGGTTAGCTAACTAGCAGGAAGTGTCATTTCAAAGGAAGCAGAGGACAAAAGGAAAGAAAGATTAGGTAAAACATTGTTGCAGTTGACTAACAGAGAAGTGTTATGAAAACTAAATGAAGGTTTCTATGCTGACTAACCAAGTGTTCCAAAGAAGGCAAATGTTGTTGAATTGAGAATATATAATTAAAATGTTCTGAATCTATTGTAGCCACATGTAGCATGTTTCCAGGACTGTTTCCCTTGCAGAACTCACATTACATAAAGTTTCTATAGAGGTTTCCCCCGATGGGGCCCACAAGCTCCAGTGGACGAGTCCTGGACGCCAAACTGGAGAGCCTTGAGTTCAAAGGCAGCTCTTACTGGCATTCAAGTGTCCCTGTGCTCATTGGGTGAATTTCACTAGCTCTCAGCCGGGCTGCCAGATGAACACTGCACTGTGCTTGGAAAAGCCCAGCGGGGCCTGAACCACACAAAGCAGCATTGATGGCAGCCGCGGCACAGCATGTGACTGAAACTGCCTCTCCTTCCAAGCTGAAAGAGGAAGCAGGAGTGTGAAAGAATAAATAAAAAGTTACTGGAGGAGAAAAGAAAGTCCAAGGCTGCTCAGTGTCAAATCTTTTTGGCTGTTAGCCTATTTAATATTCAAAACATCAATTGGCTTCATTCGTGAAATCCATAAAACCCATACATCAACAATCCAGAAGTTTATAATGCATTATTATATAATACATATAATAATAATGCTTACATTTGATACAGCACTTTGTCGCGTCTTCGAGACATCTCAAAGTGCTGCACAAAATATACTGTAAAGTGATTTGACTGTATATTTTGTGGGCGAAATAGTTTTAATTAGTTTTACACTAAAAGTCTGCCCTAGCCAGGATATTTAATCATCCTGCTGACTATGCCAACCTACTACTTTTTGTCCACAAAATACAGTCAATTCACTTTACAGTATATCCTGTGAAGTGCTTTGAGACATCTCAAAGACGTGATAATGTGCTATATCAAATGCAAAGATCATTATTATTTTACCAATTTTATTTCATTTTCTCTTCACCAATTCTCCAGTCAGATACTCCCTCCCACTGTTCAGTTAAAGTCAGCAGCTAGGAGGTGTGCTAGAGCAATTTGTTTTTTCTGTCAACCAAATCTGTCTGACCAATGCGGAAACCCATCACAAGGCTTAAGAGGATTCAATCCAGTCAGAGGTCCACTTAGCTATGCTACCTACTAAAATTGAGACCGATCTTACCTTTCCAATTTTTCTCTCTCCCATTCTTCCCTGACAGCATGGCCAAGATCAGGAAGTTGTTGCATTGGCAATGGAGATGTACAATGTTTGTACCTCTTCTTTGTCAACTCTGACTTCTTCATTCCCTTACCAACCTACGCTCCATCTATCCTGCACAGCTACCGCCTTTTATTTTTCAGATTGAGTTGTCATTATTGCTAAAAACACAGCACAATCTAATTTAAAAGGCATCAATCAGTATGATTCCAGCCCTGGCTTCTGAAAGTCTTAAATGCATTGATGCTTTCCTGTGTTCAGGAAGATGGTGAGCTTGCTGCCAGCTTTTACTGTCATGAATATTCACGTTTCCGAATGGGCTATGATGAAATCCAGCCCTGAGGTGGGCCCATTTTATGTCAGTGCCGATTTGGAATTCAAATTCAAACAGTTTATAGTGGCAAACACATGTCAGATTTTTTGGGTTGAATCCAACCTGTGCTTCTCAGCATAAATGGGGATATTAGATGATTATACAATAATAAACAGGGAATATTAGCTGGCAAGGTACCTGTGCCACTCTAAAAGACTCAATCGCATTTCTTTTCAAAGGTTGAGTCATTGTTAAGCCTAGGATGTCGTTTTTACAGCTGTTCCTGTGTCTTTTGGCTCTTGTAGAAAACGTACAGAGACTTCCGGCTTCAGGGTGTACTGGACTCGACATTGAACAGCAAGACCTATGACACTGTTCGGAACAGGCTGACCTTGGAGGAAGCCACAGCATCAGTGTCTGAAGGTGGTGGCCTCCAAGGGATCACAATGAAAGACAGCGATGAAGAAGATGAAGACGACGATTAGACAACAGTTACATTTAGAGGCTGAAATTTGGCATAGCCTGGTAACAAAATGCATGTACCAACTCTGTTATTCAGTTAGCCACAATAGGATTTTATTTGTCAGCTCTTAATAGACATGAGAGAACAGTTAACAGTAAGATTGGAATTTTAGCTGTGTGACAATTTAGCACCCAATTGAAGCATTGATTTCTAAATTCATTTCTGTATGTTCATAAGCAATATGGAGTAATCATTGTTTGATAATGTTAAGTGAGATATGTAGGAATATTACTAGGTGTGTTCCTGTGAAATGCAGAACCTATTTGGCGCTTCATCAATGTACTGTATATGTATATATCAATGGTAAAATCTTGTGGAGATGAGTGAATTAGGTAATTTTATTTATATTTCTTGACTGGCTGCCAACTGCTTAAACAGAAAATTGTCCCACGTATTAGTGTATTTCATTACCAACTCTGATATATTTCTGTTTGATATCATTCCATTTTAGTGTTCTTGTGTCTTAACCTGCTGATGAAGTTAGATTTCATGTTACATTCTTGAATGCATTTTTCTGTAAGTGAAAGAGGCATGCAGGAGGGAATTCAATTGGGGATTTTCAATTCCAAGTATGTTTGAACTGAGTTTCCCTTTCAGAGTGCTAAAGATACTTGCTTCATTTTATTTTTTATTTAAAAAAATCTGTGATGTTTCTCGAATGATTCCTATTGAATCTTGCCCCTAAAATATATTCAATCTCTGTCCACCCTTTGAGTTTGAACAATAGTGAATGTTACATTTTTAAATATTTTCCCCCATTGAATGATTTTCCTTGCAAATGCATCAGTTGAATAGTCTTGAGAATCTGAATGATTTAATTCAATTGTATGTTTAATTCTATGTTCAGCCTGTTCAGTTCTGATGCACATTTTGTTTCACAGTTGGTTTCTTGTACATATGATGCTGTATAATGCATTTTGAGCACTAGCTGCATGACAAAGGGATCTCTCTTTTCTCCAAAAGCTGTTAGTTTCTGTGTGAAGTAGCTGGTGGTGGAACAGATCATCTTGCTTTGGCCTTATAATAGACCACAGCTGTAACATGGAACAAATGTGGATGGTAAATTAACTGTACAAACATCAGTCACTCTGCTTTTTAGATCATACTATAAAATATACTATTCTGTGTCATCACAGAGACCTTATACAATATTTTAATTTCTGGTGTCCTCAGAAATCAGAACAAATTGATCAAATGTGTGGGAGGGGGTTGGGTAAGAAGGGTAAAGAAAGATAGGTTGAAAGATGAGTTACCATTATGTATATCCTCAATGCTTTGGTTAATTAGGTTTAAAATGTTTTGTGACTAAAGATGTGATCTACAGTTGTCCAAAAGCTTGCTTTGTGGTGACTGCAGTTGTGAGCACAGTACATTCTGTGCAAATAGTGACTAAAATTGCTCACAAGAATTTTTACTTCAAATGAACACCCCCTTGTTTTATGTCACAACTTCAGTAAACCATAATAATGGCATTGTTTTGTTTAGGTCGTATTTTGCATCATATTACACACTTTATGTAAGCTTCACAGTTAAGAGGCTGGTTGATTGAACACTTTATGGAATATGTGGCGTTCATCCATTGTGGAAATATTTTTACATTTAGGTGCTGCTTGTCCAAGATGAAATTTAGTGCTTTGATCACACTGATCATTGTCAGCAAATGAGACACTTCTGCCTCAATTCTAAATCAAAAGAGCTGAATATCCTTAAAACTACTTTTAGATGAAATACTGGTACAATGAGGGCCATCTCTGTAAGGAACACCAACTATGACATAGTCCATTTGATGGAACGTTCACACAAAAGTAAGTAATCATTACAATGATAATTTTTTAACTAACATAGTGGATTGAATATCAATGAATTAGGGTATTTTGGTATCCCAAAAATAATACTGTACAGTGAATATATTTGGCATAACACTTGACTACCAGATTGTATTACCTTTTAAACCGTGCCTGACATCAGCACATAATACAGCATATTTTCCTTGTTACAATCAATATTTTTCTTGCGGCCAAAATAATATATCGATGGTCACTAATGATAACTGCTGACCACTATTTGCTACTTGTGGATCTGATATCAACCTGAAACAAATTGGTCACAAATCATGCAGAAACTTTCTATTTCTACAGATATTTTGCTGCCTCACTCTTAAACCAAAAATATATAGAAAACAAATTCATAAAATTCACAGACCCAGAGTCACAGGTTGGTTTCCAGATTTGTACTGAGTTAGCTGATCATTCAGCACAGCAGTATAAGTGCTACAATTAGTCTTAGCATACTGTGCGAGGGAGGGGGGGTGGGGGGAAGAAACAGACATTTCCAATTCTGATTGCTGTCGCCTGGATCAACTTAACTCAGTTGGTTACACACTCACCTTGAAGTCAGAAGGTTCAAGGTCATGTCAAGATTTGAGCTCATACTCTAGGCAGTGGTGGGAGAGTGCTACATTTTCAGAGGTGCTGCCTTTCAAATCAAGTTTTAAAACCAGGTCCCATCTACCTGTTCAGGTAGAAATCCCATGAAACTATTTGAGAAGAGACAGACTTACCCTGGTGCTCTGGCCAGAAATCTCACAGATTAATTGACCACTTTTGGGACCTTGCAGATTAACTGCCATGTTTCCCTACAAAAACAATCACTATACTCAAGAGTAATTACTATAGTTTTAAGGCACTTGGTTTCAACATGATCAAGTGCCATTAAAATGTGAGTTCTCTCCCCTGTGATTTTCACCTTTCTCCACTGAGCTCTGCTGAAATATGTCTGTGGACAAATGAAGAAGACAGAATGAGGTTTGTCTATGATACTGTCCTCTCCCAATACATGCGGACACAAACTGTGTATATGCTTGTACACTCACACATCCAAATATACATACACACATATGTGCACACATTATGATGAGGAACTTGGGAAACGGCCTATTTAAACAATACAAAATTACATTAATAAAACGTCGTTCACGTCAGGAGGACATCCCAAGGCACTGAATAGTCGTGGATTAGTACCTGAGCGGGTGGAGTGGTTGAGATCAGGGAGGTTGGAGGGCAGAGAGGGTAGGAGGGTGGCCGAAGACACATTCAAAGAGGAGGGTCTTAAGGCATGCCTTGAAGGAGGCAAGGGAGGGAGTGAGTCAAAACTGAGTGAAGAACTGTGGGATGGAGTTCCAGAGGATGGGGGCAGAGTGGCAGAAGGCTGGTAGGAGGTTAGAAGGGAGCAACGCCATGGAGGGCTTTGAAGGTGAGGACCAGGATGTTGAACTGTATCCTCTGTGATGGAAAGACAGTGGAGTTGGGCGAGGATGGGGATGATACAGTCGCGGAGCTGGTGGGGGAGAGGACACGGGCTGCAGAGTTCTGGATGATCTGCAGCCAATGGAGGGAGGAGTTGGGGAGGCCAACAATCAGGAAGTTTGTGTAGTCAAGCCTGGATGTTATGAATGCGTGTATGAGGGTTACCTGTGAGACAGTGGCGGATCGGGCAATGTTGTGGTGGAGGGGGAAGGCAGAACAGGACAGAGCATGGATGTGGGGTCGAAAGGATAGTTGATGGTCAAACAAGATACCAAGTTTCTGGACTGGTTTAGGAAAGTGGAGTGTGCATCCTTGGATGGTGATGCTGTCAGTGCCTGAAGTGTGGAGGCGCTGACTGGAGCCAATCAGGAGAGCCTCAGTCTTGTTGTTCAACTGAAGAAAGTTACCTCTCATCCAGGACTTGACGTCTGACAGACATTCTGTCAGGACAGCAGCAGTCCTGCAATTGAGGGTAGAGGCAGAGAGGTAAAGTTGGGTTTCATCCACATACGTGTAGCAATTGAACCCATGTCTGTGGATGATGTCACCAAGAGGGAGCATATAGATATTGAAAAGAAGGGGACCAAGGATAACAGTCCTGAGGAACTCTGCACGAGGCGGTTCAGGAGCTAGAGGAGAAGCCATTTGCGGAGATGAAGTGGAGACGATGTTGACAAGTATCAACAACAACAAATTACATTTGTATAGTACCTTTCACGTCAGGAGGAAGTCCCAAGGTGCTAAATAGTCAGGGGTCCACTTGCACTGCACAATATTGTCCAAATCATCCAGTCTCGTGCTACGAGAAAAATACAATTCTAGGGGCATTGACTTGTATCCTAAAGGTAAAGTTCTATATTTACAACAGATAAAACAGTTGTACAGATCAGTAGAAAAGTTGTTCCTCAGTGGGTCCAAAATAGAGCATCCCACAGAAGAGGTCACAGGTGTTTGCTCGTGATGCAGGTCATACTTTTCATCCAGAACGTCATTTCCAGGATGGTATTATGGAGATGGTCTTAATTCCGATAGGTCTCCAAGATATCCAGGCAAAATTAATTGTGTTATTCTCAGATTTAGGAAAAAGATTAAGAACACAGATTGCCTGCCATTATTTAAACTGGTCAAAGTAATTGTGAAAACCACCAGAAGGAATAATTTTAAGTCATCCAAAAACAATCACTTGAAGACAAATATCCCAGTATGGGGAGCTATCTCAGAGCTCAAGGGCTCTTTGCTGGGTTTTATTTAATGCAAGTTTTCAAAACATATACTAAACACTTTTGTCTGTCTCACTGAATCTGCTACTACAACTCTCACCAACAAAGTTTGTAATGAACGAGGAAAGACCTGAAATTTCCTTACAAGGATTATGGGCTGTCTGACTGGTCATCAACAAATGGCTCAGGCTTTTTGCAATTGCAGATAACTTCATGGTTTTGCACACACGTTTAAACAAAATGAATAAGCAACAAGAGTAAAAATTCTGTCTTCTTTGATATAAAAAAANTCTTTTTATACAATTATATAAAATAAGTATGTTCAGATTGACCCAGAATTTCGTTTTTGAAGAAAAAAATCCTGAGATTACTTTAAAAAACAAAAACACAAAAATTTGCCCAAAAAATTAAAATTCCTGAGAAATAATTACAAAGTGCTTCAGAAATTGTGAAGCCACGAAAATAAACTTGAGCAATGCAAGCAGGCTACCAAACCCAAAGGCATATTATAGCTCTGTAACACATTCTCTGCAATCGCTTATTCCCAGTGTATTACTCTTGTATGCATTATAAAATAATTATGGCTCACTAGTTGTGATATGTACTGCTATACTCATTTATGAAGAGTGACAAATTACACTGGTTATGAATATATCATTAGCAATCCTAATGAAGTACGGAATGTCTCAACACTAATAAATGATTTCATGTAAAAGTGGTAGACTGTTAAGACATCTGATATAGTGGTAATCCCTGGTATATAGTTTGCGTTAACTTTATCCAGTTTCATAAACTCAAAAAATGTTCAGTATTTTTCACAAGATTACAGTGAGAAACAGTTGAGCATGTAACTACATTTTTAATCACTATTTATTAACAGATTCTGACTTTTTTAAATCATATATCCATACAAAGTGTAAATATATACTGGCCCTTAAAAGAAACAGCTCTTAACAACATCGGAAAATATAGCAATTGTGCTACCACCAGCACACTTTTCTGAACTTTCATTTGTAGCCAGTACAAGGATACATCATCACAGGAAAGGTGCAGATGTAGAAAACATTTCAATCTATCCACCTTAGGGTCCATTCGATCTTCTCCTTTCATAATATAACAACAACAACAACTTGCACTTATATAGCACCCCTCACCCAGGGTAGCATCCAGTAGCCTGGGTAGCACATAGGCTATCCAGGCTACTGTCCTCTCATTACAGCATTGAGTTAATAATAATAATCCTTGCATTTGATATAGCGCTTTTCACGTCGGGAGGACGTCCCAAAGCGCTTCACAGAACACACTGTAAAGTAAATTGACTCTATATTTGTGGGCGAACGCGGCAGCCAATTGCGCACAGCAATGTCCCACAAACAGTCGTAGATTGAAAATGACCAATTTATTATTGTTTTTTGTTTTTTTGGAGGGATTATTATTAGGCGTGTGGAGTAAGGAAACTTGCCCAAGGTTTCGCCCTGACCTGCCTGGAATTGTTTCTTAATCAATACCGTCTTGGCAACAACATATTCATTTTATTATACAAGTAATATTTCAGGGGTTTTCTGGAGTCTCAGTGGGTAAATGCAGTTTGATGTGGTACAACAACAA